GTCCTAGTCTAGTGAAGTCCATCATTCAATTGAAAGGACGAAAGACGGAGATCGGGCACACTAATCTGCTGATTTTATGCACCAACACCGGGCACGGTTCGGCCGCACCGAAGAACCCAAACGTGTTGCCATGCTCGCTATATTGTACCCCGAGATCAGATACCAATGTTCAATGTGCTAGAGTATTCGCTCACAATTGAATTCAATTTATTCACTCTCACGCGCCAACACAGTGTCGGTCGTGCCTTTGGAAATGAAGTACTCCTGTCTAGCTCTCTTATATGGACCGGACCATCAGTGCATCGGCGCTTACCTGAACGTCTTTTCATGGCCAGTGTGCGGCCATCCTGAACAGAGCTTTGCAGGGCTGGTCACGACCAGTACGTTAGCTTATCTTATAAGTTACTTGGGATGAAAGTAAGTTTTACTCGGTAAAGGCTCGCGCATGGTATAGCATTTTATTTACTTCAACCAATTGAATTTTAGCTCAAGTAAAATAAATATTCAACCTTGGTTTAAATCAAAGGTGGAGCGGTGCGGTCAGATGCTTCCCATCAAAGCCACTGGATAGCTTTTTTTCATGAACCGTTGGAATTGAAGAATATCCGGGCCGTTATTCAGCCAATACACCTGTCTAGTACGGCGATGATCCATCACTCTGTCTTGGAGCAATTTGCTGTTGCCGGGCCACAGACCGATCCCGCTGCGTATCAACAAATTCACCGGGTGTGCTCGTGGCGGCGAAGGTCGATCCAGCCGCTGGCCGGTGTCCGCTGTCCGTCCCTGATGAGTCCCTGCTGTGACGCGAACAGCTGGAGGTGCCCTGGAGTTCGTATGGTCGCCACGGGGGAGCCAGCCTCGACTCAAAAATTGAACACACTCCCGCTAGGGAGGGGTGGAGGGTATACGATCATTATCGACATCAACATGTTTATTATGTTCTTAACCTGCTGGGTAATCACATTTACAGCAATGTTGGTGCAAAAGCATGCCATTCATTTCCTGTCACTGGTTTGAAAAATATACATGAACGCATAAGTACCTTGGCATTCAACTAGAGTAAAACAATATCGAAACGGGAAAAATAATGTTGCTTGCCGACTTCACCGGTAATTACAGGACAGCAGTGCTCATGCGCCTTGACCTCACAGTCCCATCTCATCACCTCCGAGATCGAAACTAACGCTCTTGGAACGAACCTCATGCATTATAGAGGTCCAGATCCAACAGCTTGTGCTGGCTACTAAAAACTGAAACATCTTTAGATGTTTGCCTCTCATTGGGAGTTTTTTTTTGTAGTAGGTACTGAGATGTACCGAACACAAATACCATTCACGTGCCTCCGCGCCTGACCTCTCGATACCCTGGATTGTGACGATAGGTCGCTATCGCGTGTCGTCTCTCGTCTCTCGACTCGGCCGTGCTCGCTGTTGACTTTCGTCAGCGCGGTCGCCTCGGTCGCTCCTCGAGTAGGTAGTGGTCTCAAGTAGTGACCTCCCTGTCCTATCGGCCGGCCGGACAACATCATGTGATGTGCCCCGATAGCGGCCGCGCTGGCCGACGGCTGGCCGGCCGTCTCGGTCATTCGTGCTCGGAGATCCCTGTGATCGCCACCGGATATCGGTTGCTCTGGTGCCGCCGTCCGGAGCTCGAAGCCCGCCCTGTGTAGCGCCGCCACCTGCCTTCTCACCCTCCAGAGCTCTGAGATCGTTGGGTGTGATCACCACGCTGTCTTCACTCTCCCGCTCCTGCGCTGTCCCTCCATCCCTTCTGACCCATCCCTCTCAACTCTCTCGGCCGCTCCGCCGCGCCGGGATTCGAACCCTCGCCACGCGGCTAGTGTCGCCTGCGCTCGCCGGCGGCAGTGCGGAGCCGTCGGTCGTCATCCTGTCGGCCCGAGAAGCGCTGTCCGGCGACACGGGCTGTCCGGCGCACTGTCCGACGGCTGTCTGGTGGCTGTCCGGTGGCTGAACTGCGAGTACCGAGCTCGGGAGACGGACAGACATGGACGGGGGAGATGGCAAGGAGGAGCAGGTCACCAGACCATTCAAAAAGGTACCGATCGCTGCACTGTTATAGAACATGTGCTCGTATTTTTGGTATGGGTTGGGTGGTCTTGCTGTATAGCCCGAATATTGTACAAACAATTTTTGGAAACTGTGTGCTTTGTTTACTTGTTTGCCACTGTCGGATTTAAAGGAAACATGCGTAAAAGTAAGCTTTAATGGAAGTAATTTTGGAGTTGGTTTTGGAGTTTAATGGAGTTAACTTATGAAACCAAGCACAGATGCTGATTCTAAATGTTCTATGCTCGCTCCAAGGCTCAGCGCCAGGTAACAATTGTTCCTTTTAAACACGACCTGTAGCTAAGTAAGCCTATAGGTATGCAGAGCATGCAAGAATGGAAGTATCGAATCGCGCTAACCAGTGGAAAGGAGCATTCACTTACCTTTCAAGCCAGCGTCTCGCTTCACGAATATCTTTATTTGACACAACATGGTGTAGGCGCTTGCAGAAACGTTGAATTTTAATGGGGCGCACCCTATCCTGCCGGTCACCTACGATGGTGTCAGTGACTTTTTAGTGCAGCGTGTATTACATTTATGTATACCTCTATCTAGTGATGCAGTTGTATTCACGATATAGTACGTGAAGTTGTAATCGATGCAGGAATTCAGCGTTGCACGTTGTCGCTGATTGACTTAGCGAGGCTATTTGAGCCCCTTCGTGTGCTGGTGCTCGTAGCTTATATGCTAGCCAGGGTCTATGGCCGTGTCAGAGGGCGGCTGAGGGTTGAGATTGACTGCCAGGGTGGCACACCCATTTTATGCAGGACATTTAAATGAAGGGGCGTGACGCGTGTGCTTTATTCATTTCGCTGATTCAATCTGAACTGCTTTACATTCGTTTGCATATTGTGTAGAACATCAGTAAGGCTTAATTGTATTGCTACAATTAAAGTCGTTCATTTTTGGAACAACTATCCCTTTTTAAATGTCTCTCCCTTTTTGTTCTTGCCTTCCTAGCAGAGCGCAATCAAATTCAAGGCATTTTTATGCATTTGCAAAGGAAAAACTCTTAAAGCTTGGGTAGGTATGTACTTAAAATGAAATGTGCAATGTGCATAGGAATATGAAAAACTTATACTATTTGCATGTGGCTACAAACTACATTTAATACAATTATTTGATAATAGCATGAATGAAATCGGCTATAAGCATGTGCGTTGTTATTCTTAGGTTGGAAATGTGATAGGTATATAAAACGTAGCAATTACTACGTTAATTTTTGTCATTAGTTCCCAAGTAACATCGACATACGTACGGTAATTTGCTGATCTCGAATACATCAATTAGACGGCCAATGCTATCCCGCCTTTTCCGTTTTCGTCTCGGAAATCTATGGCTGGTGGTGTGCGTCTGTACGGTCCCGAGCACTCGATACGCACCACCTCGTCGACCGCCGTGCACCGCGTGTACCTCACCCGCAAAACACAACTCAGTCACGTCCTTTGGTGTAACCGGCAACAAACCACATGTTTTGACTGTGCGTGCGGAGCTCAGTCGCTAAACGTTTGTCGTAAACCGGAGGAAATAACCGACTGGCGGCTGCGGTGATTGTGCCGCGATAGCCAGGTGGCCTTTCGGTGTCGAGCCTCAGTTGTGAAATCTCTGACTTAGTTTTAGACATATTTTTCGAACAGCTTGCCGTCTTTGGGATGGAATAGAGTTGGGCACATGCTACGTCTCTTCGTGCTTCATGCTGGCCTTACTTTAAGTTCTACTGAATACCGATGCTTATATTGACAGCACTATAGGTAGTATGTCTAGGCGATACCTAAGATATAAGCTCACCGAGTGATCTTTTACCTATCATTTAGGCGATACTTAAGATATGAGCTCACCGAGTGATCTTTGCGTCGGTTCGTCTGAATGGACCCTCTGAATCACCGATCCCGAGTAAAGATGTGTACCGAGTGGGAATACGGAGCCGCCTCTGTGCAATAAATCTGACGACGCGTCAGAAACGCGATAAGGCACCGGGGTAAAACAGCCAAACATCCGGTGTAATGCCACCTGTCACACAACAATGACGTCACCAATCGTGACGTCATTCACTGGCATACCCAATAGGTAGGCGTTCCACACCACACCGTTACAACATCGTCTTTTTCTACAATATTTGGCTGTGGCTATTTGTTACTGTGGCTGTGACCGTGACTGTGGCTGTGGCTGTGGCTGTGACTGTGGCTGTGGCTGTCATTGCTGCTACAGCTGCTGCGGCTGTGACTGACTGTGACTGTCCGTCCACCCAACATTGCGCCGTCTATGTGCACTGGAACTCGGTCATTGCTCTGCAATGTTCACCGCCCCGCTCGACTATAAATTCCAATCACTGTCCCGGTGGCCTATGACCGTCACATACATGACCAGGGGACGCGACTATGACGTCACCAAATGTCGCACCACCCACCAATCAGCAGCGCGACCCGTCGGCCGGAACAAATCGGCGGCGAGCACCAATAAATGTTCGATATCAAAGCTGACCGACCACCGAGTGAAGTATGTAGCCTAAACTGGCCGCGGCCTCCACACAAATTGAACGGTATTGATGGTAGCGCTTCGTGTGTGACGACACAGTTGCCCTTGTTTGACCTCTATCCTCTCTGCAGCTCGTCAGATCTGTGACCAGACTTTGAGTCCGTCCTGTCAGCTTAGGTCCGTCTATGACCCCGTCCTGACCTGTAACGGCTGTCTGAGCTTTCTTACGTCTGATCTGACTGGCTAGCCGCTGACCTTTCTGAAGCCTGACCCGTTTGACCTTGACGTTGCTCGTCTAAAGCATGACCAGTGTGACCTATGATCATGTGACCTATGTGGCCCACCTACGGTCTAACCCGCCTGACCTGTGACATCTTGGGTTCGACCCCATTGACCTTATGACCTATGTGACCCTCTGCAGCCTGACCCGTCTGACCTGACCTCTCTTGTCTTCTCCAGCCGTACAACCGGTATGCAGCCGACAATGACGCCATGGAAGAGATGGACAGCATGTTCCGGGCGCCGGATGAGCGCACCGACTTCACCTCGCTTGTCACCGAGGAGGCAGAGGTCAAACCGAGCAAACGCTACTCCGAGGACGACTTCCAGGGTCAGTCAGGAGGGACAGAGGAGGGGCAGGGGAGAGGCTGGGAGGGACAGAAAGGGACAGAGGAGGGGCTGGGAGGGACAGGAGAGGGATCTGGAGAGGAGAGGATTCTTCCAGGGTTGGTCGCCGTGCAGGGCGGTGGGGTTGGGGGTATAACGCCAGGACATTCGGTGTCCTGGCGAGCTGGAGCGCGGACGTGTCCAGTCCCGAGAGCCTTCGACGATATTGGCGCACAAACCAGGGAGTAGAGTTCATTGATAGATTTTGAGTTTAGAATTAATTTTTGTTCTTAAATTAGGTACCAACTTTCTTTTCGGTAATCTCACCTTAGTTTTGTAGCTTTGCCGACTTTGTGTTCGTACTTGAGTAATTTTTCCGTAAGTTAAGGATCGGTACCGTGGGAGGCCCAAGGATGGATAAAGAGGCTATTGAGATGATTGTGAAGGAGGCAGTGAGCCTTGAGACTTTGTCTCTGCGAGAGGAGCTGAAAAAACTAAAAACTGATCAAAAAAAGAATGAGGAGGTGATAGAAAACTTGAAAAAAGAAAACAAAAAGCTGTGGAAGGAGATAGAGAAGGTGGATAGAAATGTTGATGAGGTAGAGCAGTACAACAGAAAGTCCTCTCTCATCCTGGGTGGTTCCTTTCCAGAGGGTGCGGAGGGGGAAACACCTCAGGAAACCAGGGCCACAGTAAAGAAGGTGCTCAAGGAAAATCTGAAAGTAGAAATGAAGGGAGAAATAGTAGCATGCCCTAGGGCCTGTTCCAGCGCCTCCAGAAACCTCCAGAAAGCTCCAGAAAGCTCTAGAATCCTCCAGAGAGCGTTCCAGCGCCTCCAGAAAGCTCCAGAAAGCTCTCGCCAAAGCTCCAGAAACCTCCAGTAGCCTCCAGAGAGTTGAGAGGTCCAAATTTCTCTGGAGGCTCTGGTCTACAATTATGGTGCACATGTGACAATCACGAATGTAAACAAAGGACATTTGACTGATTATTTTACAACTTGAATGTAAAGAAAATTACATTGCTATAATTTTATTTATCTTTTTAACTAAAATTGAAAACAAATTTTGCGTTTCAAGAGAGAACAATCGTCATTCTTTTGGTATCTATGACGCCAATCTCCAGAAATCTCCAGATTGCGTTCCAGCGCCTCCAGTAAAACCTCTGGTAGAGCCTCCAGTCAAGAATTTCTTCTGGAGGCGCTGGAACAGGCCCATAGACTGCGAAACAAAAGGCGGGTGATTGTAAAGTTTCAGGACCTTGATGACCGTGATGCTGTCTATCAGGCAAAATTTGAACAAGGTGGAGAACCAGGTGAAAAGATCACGATCCATGAGAACTTGACGGAAAAGAGGGCTAAAATGGTCTCTGTACTTGAGGAGATGCGCAAGAAAAAAGAGGTCCTCAACTATCATACCAAAAATGGCAACATCATGGCAAGAGATTCTACAACAAAAAGGTACTCGCGCATACAGCCATGGTTCAGTGAGGAAGAAATCAAGGCTACACTAGGTAACGCACCACTTAAGTCAAACCAACGCGAGCATCAAACAGGCCACAACTTCATGCGCTCACAAACTCTCCTCAACATCCCACCCGGATCCGTCGCACGAAAAGCTACCAACCTTGAAGACTACGTGGTCCCTTCCGCACGTCAGACTCGACAGGCGAAGAAGTCTCAGACTGAGCAGTAGAATATACAAATCCCTAGCTTTCTGATTGAGTCATTTTTGATTGGGCATGCCTGATATCTGGTCTTTGAAATGTGTGAAATAGTTTCAAATGGAAAGAACACAAATACAAATACAAATACTGCATGATACAAATATTGCAGCACATCACAAAGTACATGTTATGCATATTGCATAGTACAATAAACTTGTCACTCAAAATATCAAAAATAGCAAGTACAATTAGTAATGCCTACTTACCAAACATAATAAAACATGTCATACTGTGAAATATGACACTGTTTTGGTGCAGTATGCTTGGGACGGCTTGCTTATGAATGGTTACAATACTGCCTACCATACAGCTCTGAGCTCCAACCCACTGTCTGCACCTCACATCGGATACCCTTGTCTGGTCTGTCATGATAATGCTGGTCCCTTTACTGGAGCTCTCATTAACTGATCCTCTCACCTAATTGATCACTTTGATCTGACAGAACCCTCCAGGCCTACATCTGCCAGCTCTGCCAGGGTGCTATTGGAGCTGCGTGGATGTGGGTGGAATGATTGTGTGAGTGGATGGATGAATGTGGTGACAAATCACCTGAACCTGGCAGAAAGGTCGTTTTAACTATTTTAACATGGAGACTGGAGGAGTTATTTCAGTAGGCGGAACTATGGTCATGAGTACCCAAATATAGGAACGTCCCCATTTTTGGGAACGGAGTTCCCAAATATGGGAACGGGCGTTCCCATTTATGAGAACGGAAGGCAATTTTTCGGCCGTTCTCCCACTAAAACTCAAAAGTGCATCACGTCTCAAAAAAGTGCACGCTGATTTAAGTATCTACTAAATCTCCATAAAGTTATCTTTAATCTGACCGTGGAACAAGGAAATTGACCGTGGAATGATATTTTTAATGATTTTTTGAAAATGACAGAATGGTGGAAATATGGGTTATACGACATTTAACATGCAATTTTAAGGAAAATGAAGCATTTTTTAGTTTGAGGTAAAGTATAATAATTTTCGCCTGGTTATGAACTTTCATACTATCGACACCAGATGCTGACAAATGCAAGCGAAGACGCGGACGGTCCCGAGGTAATATTGTTGACTTTTGTGTCGGGGCGGACGACCGCGTGGAACGTGAGTGAATTTACCGAGCTACTGTTGTAAACTCAGTTTATGCGGTTGAAAATTATCCAGCTGTATTTTATCATCCCGGAAAGACATATTTTATTTGGATGCTAGCTGTTTAGAGTTGTTTTATAAGGAGCGTCATGAGCGTGGTTTTTGTCTTCCGTGTTTCTAAGCGTGATCGTTTTGGGGGAATTTCTCTTATATAGCTCGCTCTGTGTGGCTTATTTATAATTTTTATGCTGATTTCGATAATTCCTCGTGCCCATCCTACCAGGCCTTTTGCCACTTACACTCATCAAGAAAGGAAAAAACTAGATTTTCATTGGGACTAGGTGTTTTGAGGGTGTAACATATTCAGCGTTCCCATTTTTGGATACTTCCTTGTACTCGTCAACTATCGGTGATAAACAGACAGGTGCTTGACATGTCTCCACCCTCAGCGCGGACGGTGGATATAGGTATGGAAGACCTTGTTGAACATCGCTGAGCGTTGTGAATTACGTAATCCTGCAGAGGGGGGCGTGCCCGCTGCGAGATCGACGGGAATAAAAGCGCAGAAGACCGGGCGAAACATGCGACGGTCTTGCCGGAAAGGTCATCTGATGATTGTTGCGTTAACAATAATTTGCGGCGTTGGACGTGATGCTTGTTAATGAAAAGAGCCCCTGAAAGGCGTCGGTGAAATCGTTCCCAATTTTGGGTACGCCGTTCCCATAATAAGGAACGCTTGCAGCGCCAGTGTACGAGAGCGTTCCCAAATTTGGGCTCGCGGCCCGGATGATGGACTGCTTTAGAAATAGGGGAACGATTTGAAACAACGATGGGCCTTACAATATCAAACTCTTTCCCAACAATATTGAGACAAATATCAGGCGGTTCACGATCGTTTTATATTTTTTGGACGTCATTTAACGGTTCTTTTTCTTGTTTTAAATAATGCCTACATGGCGTTCCCATATTTGGGTTTATCGTTCCCAAACATGGGAACGAAAATGCGTTCCCGAAAATGGGTACGCTTGACCATAGTTCCGCCTACTGATTTGCTATCATTGGAATTTCTGACTGTTACAATTTCACAGTATATCAGTTACTGGGTTGCTCCTGGACCAGCACCTGACAGTTGACATGGAGTTATGTTATGATACTAACTGGTGTGAAAAGACAGACATGGTAACAAATAACAATGAAAACGACATGGAGCCGGAGGCAGGTATTGGTTGTAATTAACATCAACATCAACTACTTCATAAGATGGGCTGTCTCATGACATCTGCTTCCTCAACAGCATGCTCATAAACACCTACAAAATCATAGCAACAACACAGCTTGTGATCACTAGCATGTATGTTAAACAAAATCAAAATGGAATAGCAACAAAAAGTACAATAACTGATGTCAATTTAGCACTTCAATTTGTGTGCAAATTGTGATTTGTTGCCTGTTGACCAGTGATGGTGTGTCCAATCGGAAATGGCTAATCACAATAAGGAAATAAAATATTTCACTTATCTTCAATATTGCTAGCCTGGATTTGTGTTTACCTAAAATTTATCCAATGCTGCACTGATACTCATTGCCTGTCACGTTTCTCACGTTTCATTACCCAATTAAACTCACCACATCACAAAATGACTCCTTTCCTACATGTTTCCACACGCCTCCCCCTCGTATTCTCTCACTCTCTCGCTCACTCTGACCTTCAAACACCACAAGCAAACGTAAACAATGAGTAGGTAGTATGGAAACCACGTGCTAACTTCATTCATAAAATAACCTTCAAATGATACAAACAAAATACATGAAATACCGTGGATTATCACGTGACCTTATCAAGTTTTTTCTTGCCAAAGTTAAAACAATACAAATCACAAATAACCTAAAAACAAATAAAACAAAATACAAATGAAACTTCTTGCCATGATGTTCTATCCTTGGTATGAAGTTATTAAAAACAAATGCAACGAACATTCATTACTATAAAGTCACGTGACTTTTTCCATATCAAATAATGAAAATAGTCAGCCTTGGGCTTCCCTCACATGGGTTAGTCCGCCTCGTTTCAACGCCAGCCAAGAGGCGCTTGTTGCGTCGAACTGGTGAGGTGCTGATTGATTGTGCTATTTTCTGTTAGATTAGACATACCATACTTGAATGAATCTAGTAGAATGTACTGATTCAAATGGATCTCTTGAT